CAGCTTCCACTTTCAACTTTACATATTTCAACTTTACAATGTTTCAGCTTTAGCTTTCAACTTTTGAGATTTTCAACTTTATAATGTTTCACCTTTTAGCTTGAACTTTCACCTTTTGACACTTTAACTTTCTAATGTTTTACCTTTCAGCTCCCACTTTTAATTTTTAACACTTTCTACTTTCTAATTTTTCACCCCTCAGCATCCACTTTCAACTTTACATATTTTAAATTTACAATGTTTCAGCTTTAGCTTTTGAAACTTTCTAATGTTTCACTCTTCAGCCAAGGAATTCAGCAATTTGAGCATTCCCTTTTCAGCTCTCTGCATTCACACGCATTTTCCGCTAGGAAATGCACTTTCTAGTTCAACACGTTTTAAAGCTGATCGCTTTTAGTTGTTGCTTATTTATTACGTTGAAAATAAAACTCTCGGTCCCTATTATTATGAGTACAATTCTGGTTTAATAAACGGGGTGTTGATACAAAGATTAAATTGACCATTGAAGTTAAGAATCATGTCTGAAAGTAAGTAAATTCTTCTTTTATTAGCTAACAGCATTTAGACAAAGTCTTAAAAGACTACTTATCTTCTAGGTTTTCTTGTTTTCTCTGTTGTTGTTTTTTATGTTTGTTGACAGAAAGTTTGTGTTGTGAGGAGGATCCCAGCAAACATTTCGTCTTTAAAAAGACATGTATTTTTTGTTCAGATATAGTCACAAAATGAAAGTTTAGACGTTAAAACAACGTAATTTCAAGACGTCCACATCTATATGTTTTTCGCACACTATTTGTTTTTGTGAAAATCCTTTTTTTGAATCCGTTTCCAGTGTGTTTATGATAAATATATACAAACTTTTTGTGTTCCATTTTGTGCAGTGGTGAACAAAGTACACAAACCACCTCCAGTACTTGAAACACTTGGTAAAATATTACTCCAATAAAAGTAAAAAGTGCTCCGTTCAGAATTTCACTTGGGTAAAAGTACAAAAGTATTTGCCTTTAAATGTACTTAAGTTTCAAAAGTACTATGATTTATTATGGCTATAGTAAACTATTATCATTTTTGTCAAGACTTAACAAGTATGTTAAGGGTGTATCTAGGGAAACACACACAGCTTCTTAGAGAATCCCGCAAATTTACTTTGACGACAAAAATGTATATCAGAGGAACGAATAATTTTTTTTCTGTGGTTTTAAAACCGACTTTTTCAAAAGACTTTTGTAAACTTTGAAACCGGTTATCATCCCATGTCTAGTCGTATCAGATCATAGTAACAGAAACTATTTCGGGAGTTTCTTCCATCAATTATTAAGGCACGTGCACTCTAATAAAGCCAGCTGTTGAACTGACATTGAACTGCATTCTGACTTAGTAGATGCCACCAAACGGCAACCAAAACAATTCAAAACAGAGCGCACGCTGAACCCTGATTGGTGGCTCACGCATTCTTCACCAATTAGGTTTTTCAATCAACTCAACATTTAAAAGGAACACCTGGTTGTGCAAAATGTTAAAAAGTATGATTTTTGACTTTAAAAAGTAGTGAAGTTTAAGTGAAAAGTCTCCCCAAATAACAGATTTTCTCCAAAGTACAGATACTTGAAAAAGTTTAAGTACAGTAACAAATTACATGTACTTGGCTACTGCCCACCACTGATTATGGTGAGGTAAAGGTTTAACACTGGTGCAGATTCTGTCCAGTCTGACCGTGTTTTCAACAAATCATAAACATATGAATAGAAGCAAACCTTTATATTTGAGCAATTTATTTGTCAACTTCTTATTAAACACAATTCTTAGGTCAACACTATCATAAACTTCACATATAAAACACTATATTAATAATAGGGATGCACCGAAATGAAAATTCTGGGCCGAAAAAGAAACGAAAAATTTTAAATGCACTTGGCCGAAAACCAATACCTAAAATGGCTTCATTAAAAAAAAATGTTTAAATTTTTTTTCTTTGTATTAAAAGAGAACTATAAATTAATTAAACAATCAAACTTTTAATGATAATGATTAACAGTAAGGCTGTTTAACAATAACAAAACTAAATAAAATTTCTTTCTGTAACAAAATTGTGCAAAAACATTCTAGCTGCTTTTATACTTCAGTTTTACATTTCAACAACAGAGCACAAACAGATGAAAAATAATTGCAAAAATATTGCAACTTTGCTGTCCTCATCTGAAACTTTGAAGTGCTTCCAAATCGCTGACATACTCCATGTTTGGTGCGTAACAAGAAGGGAGGATGGGAGAGGCGTGGCAACAGCTTTTATTTTTGGAAAAAGTGGAATACTGCATGAAATATTTCAGAATAAAGCACCTTTTCCATCCAATGACCTCAACAGAAAAATCACCAAAATCGTCACTTCCTGATAAACTGGCGCCAAATATTAAAATAAAAATGAAAGCTGCTGCATTAGGAGAAATCCTTTTTTGTATATAATATCTTACTTGCCCCTTTGAACGCATAGACGTAACGGAATGTATGCAGTCTTTGGGAACGCAGACAGTTCTGGGAGCTGATGATCCTGAACCACTTTGCCTTAGGAATTTTAGAATGACCGAAACAACATTTCAGATGTTCTGCGATGAAATCTCTCCATTGGTTTGTTCATTAATGCCGCCCCTGCTCCAACAGAAAAACACATTGGCATTGCATTGGAATTTATTCATTAAATGCATTTCCATCATAGTTTATGCACATTGTCTCTTATTGGAGAAAACTTTTATCCTGCTCTGTTGTGTTCATAAGTTTTTATGCACATTTTACAAAATCTGTGCGCATCTTGCTGTTTCCAAAGAGGGTTTTTAAGTGTGATATTTCAAAATACGCATAAAAATGGTGGATGGAAACACAGCATCTGAGTAAACAAAATATAGATAAATATAATCATAAATACAGGTTAACAGATTTATATTGAAATTCCAATCATTTTAGTTGTGTTTAGGGCCGTGGGCCATAGAGTAGGATATAATTTCATTCGTTATTCTTAAAAAAAAAAAGAAACGCTTTGCATGTTAACATTTGATATCTACCTTTACCAAAAGAGAATGTTTTGCTTTGTAAGTGTCCAGAGATCAAGAGAGGCTCATCTTCAAAATCACAACTACTCGATCTCACCCTTGAGTTTGAAATTTGAATTATCGATGTTTGACAAAGTTTCGTCTCGTGTTGCAAGATATGCTTCTTCTTTTTACTGCAGGCATCGGTTTGGGTGCTGTACTTGTACAGTATAAAACTTGTACTTGTGCAGATTACATGTCCTATTATCAATACATAGGTCAAAATTAACTAAACATCCGTTTTTTTCCGTTGTTTGAAATAATAACATTTCAATGGATTTAAATGACAACCCATACAACATAAAATGTCGCATATCAAGGATATGTAGCACACTGGACACCTGCAGGCATTTGCATTCATAGCATTTTTAAATGTGGACCATTCATCCAGGACGCTTTCTGGATTTGGGTGTTACGTTGTGTACAACTTGTGGACCTATAGCCTCTCAAGCGGGCCGATATTGACTGAATTTCAGCGTCCTCTCCATGTCGACGTTGTTTCCATGTTTTCTGGGATTTACAATATATGAAACAAAACAAGTACTGTACGCATTATTTGATTCAGTTGTTGTTAAGTATGTTTAAATAAATATGTTTTTGGGCGCAATCACCTGTTTGTAGCTCTGAGAAATGCATGTGGAATAGCCTAGTTTTGGGGAAGGTGGTTGACGAAGTACAATGGCGCTCATTGTGTTGTGTGTGTTTATGTTGATCTCAAGTGGGCTTCCGCTTCCACAGTATTGTGTGAAGCATATGAACACACTGGAATGTGTACTGCACAGTCATTCAGGTTTGGGGAGTTCTTGTTGGAGAAATTAAATAGTTACACGGTGATGTAATGCCAGGATGTTTCAATTCATTTACCACAAACACTTGTCAGTACTGCAACAGTATTATATCTTTGCTTTTGGAGTTACTTTAGTCATTGCAAGGTGTGAGTGTATTGTGATTCAAAAGTGTCAAAATATGGATTGTGGAGTTCATGCAATGATTGCAGAGTAGGGCTGGACAATTAACCGAAAAGTAATTGAAATAGCCATTGAGAACCTATCATCGTTACATTTTACCAGGTCAATTTGCAATTATTTCCCTTTAAAAGAGCTACTGTAAGGAGTCACGTGACCCTGCTCCATTTCCTTAAATTATTTTAATATCAAGTAGTGTACCCTTCATTCAAAAAAGTCTTACTTGTAATATGTGAGCTTTATTTATTTACTTTACGAACATGTTAGTGATCTATGATTGGAAAATATAATAATAAACAAAATAATCAGAATCGAGTTAAAATTTTCAATTAATGGAAATTAAAAAATATTAGAACAGACAAAGATCTTGGTTAGTCTGGATTGACTTTCACAAACGGTCATATTAAAATATTTTAAATCACAGAATTTTATTGAAATACAATTTCAGATGCTTTTCACAGTTTGAAAGTGGTTGAGTTTCACATTAATTGTTGGAAAATTCTTGGCATTTTAACTATACTTCCCTTGGAAGATTATATTTGGAAAATATAAGCCAGGCAGTTTAAAACTTAATCTTTCCTATAACAAAGTTGGTTTGTCCTCTAGTTTCTTGAGCCAGGAACTTCACACAAAGAAAGATGCTGTAGCCATAAGTCAGATAACTGTTTCGTCAGTGCCAAGTAGGGCTGGGGATATGGCCTAAAAAAATCCTAGAAAAAAAGGTAGTGACTGACTTGGTTTCAAATGCTGAGAATACAATTGTTTTCATCATTTATGTAACAGTACAAGTATGTGAGTTTGTAAGCGGTCAAAACTTCTCTGTTTGTAATACAAATCTTAAACCCTGGTTTCAAATGAACCTTGTAAGTATTTATAACCTAGAAAAGCACTTATATTTGAACTTTCAGAAGTTGTTGGGCTATTTTTCATTTTAGTTTCATTTTTGTTTACTATTGGTGCACACATGGCCTAAAGGATAAGGCACTGGCCTTCCAAACCAGGTATTGGGAGTTCGATTCCCATCTGGCGCGGTCACTGTTGCTTGTTTGCCATCATCAGTCTGACCATAGTCCAATGGTTTCTGTGATGGACTGGCGACCTATCCAGGGTGTACACCCCCTGATGTGTGCTAGAGATCTGTGACCACTAAAGAGACTAAGCGTGAAGGAAAATGAATGAATGAATGAATGAATGTTTAGTATTGTGGGCATAATATGTAGATGTCTATGTGATGCGGGTATAATTACAAAACTAGTTGCGGCGGTGCTTTAGATATAATTAGTAATTATGTAAAGTAACTATAATTATTAGTGTTCAGGAAATGTTCACTATCAATATTACCAGCCATTCTGTTGTGGGAGTGTCACTTTTAGAGATTTGTTGTATTCAATATTTATAATAAAAAAATCTCCATCAGGGATATTCTCATTTTGTTGACAATATATCGGTTACTTTTTATTTGTGCTTTATATTTTGTCTCCCTGATGCCCACAATCAACCCCTCATACACTAACTCTCGGTGTCAATTTAAGTCCATTGAAAGATGAGTGGAAAGCCCAGATGCCAGTGCGTGACCTGTGGCTCTAGCCTTAAAACAGATTAACAAAACAAATAGTCATTGGCATCTCTTCAATAAAACCACATGGATTCCCTCCTTATCATTTTACTAAAACCCTCCTTAAAATCTCAGTGATCTTCTTCAATTCCTCTGTGTCACATGAATATTCCTGCAGTTGTGATATTTGATCATGTTAATGTGCTCTTATCTTGAAATGTTGAGTTTCACTGCACAGTTTCATCCTCACACCCATTCACACAAAGGTGAGACTAAAGTCCTATTTGGAAGGGACTTCTTTCACAGGGGGTCATTAGAAACTTCAGTTTCTCAGGAGTACTTAGTGTTTAATCTCGTCCGAATCTGCAATGTGTTCAAGTTTCCAGTATTTTTAAACCCACAGCAATGGATGAGGATGAAACCCTTAAAATGGGGGGTGAAAGGGAGGATGAAACTACTTAAAAATAAAATAAACAAGAAGAGCTATATCGTTACATTAGTATGATGTACGTTAAAAGAACAGTCTTCCCCAGTAACTTTTAAGTTTAAGAAGCCCCCGTCTATGTCCATAAAGTTCCAATTGTTGGAGGTGCATGTCAAGTTACGCCGAAGGGTTTTATTGCTTTCGCACGTCTCCTACAACGCATGTGCGAAGGCATGATGCATACGCATTTAGCGGAACGGTGCTTTTCCTTTGCATGATACCAAGGATGGAACAAAGTGGAAAAGCCCTCAACCTGTCCAGAGAAAACAAAAGCACCATAAAAAAAGAAACTTTCTGACTAGATTTTAATAACATTATCACTTATTCAGGTTAGTTCTACTTGAAACGATTAACCGGTGTGCTTCCACTAACTTCCAATTTCAATTCTGAGGGAGGGGCTTGTTTTAGAATGGGCACTAAAGACATTGCCAGTGTAATTCCGCTTGGTGACCTCAAATGTGACATCTGTTGCATACACAGTGTTTCCCCTAGGATCATGGCCTTGGGGGGGGGGGGGTGTTATGGGTGGGGCGGCAAAACACTCACACAAACACTTAATAGTGTTTATATGTTTCTTTTAATTGCAGTATACCAATATATTATAATGTCTGAACAATTACTGTACAATAACTAAACAACTGTACACTGAACTAAACACTAAACATCAGATTTATTTTAATATGTTAATTATTCACAAAGTGTGCAGCTTTTGTCACTGCAGTGCATCTTTCTGGGCTTCTGAAAGAACATTTCCAGAGCATCTTGGTATGGATAGTCTGAAACTTCTGGCCCATTTATTGAGATCCGCATGCAGGCTGCAAGATGGTCCCCTTGCAGCCTATTGCGAATGTCTGTTTTGACCTGTAAATACATTAACTGTTAGGTCTTTAAAAGTGATAACTGATAGTAACAACAGTAAAAATCAACTTAACATAGTGATAGTTTAAAGCAGGAAATGCCATTGTATAACTAACTAGCTAGCTAATAATTAAGCAATTTATTTATCAATTCGTTCATTCATGCTTGTGTGTATTTACTTACTTACCAAGATCAGTCTTGTACAGCCAGGGGGAGTATTTCCTCTCTGACAAGCAGCACTTGGGCAAGACATGCAGCACTTGGGCTCTTTTCTGTACTTTGATTCGGAGTAGGAAAGCTACACCGGCTGCTGCTCGCAGCAGAACACGTGCTGTCATCGTCACCATCTTGGGAGCGTTTAAAAAAAGCGGATATTTTTGCCTGCTGCGACATACTCTCCGACGCGCGGTCTCTCTCTGTCCGCTGATGGGTGTGTGTGTGCGCGCGCATCGGGGCGGAACTCCGCCGTGCGCGACACGGAGGACAATTGTAAACGCGCAAACGTTGAGACAGAAATTACATGCCATCGTATAAATAACATAATGCTATTTAGTTTAATAAAAGAAAAAAGCAAAGACCTGTTATATATAAATTACTTCTGTCGTTTTTCGACGAAAATAAAATAAAATTAACTTGACCTTTAAGGGGGGCGGGGGGTGCCGTTGGGGGGGCGGGGCGCCTCCCTAATATAATGGTAAGGGAAACACTGATACATGATCAATCTCTCTCTGGACAGTTTTCTGGCTGCTGGCTATTATGAAGCTATGCGGTTGTACAACGCTTTTGTCTCAGCATTCATTGATATTTCTTCAGTCTGACCAGTCCGCGATCAACAGGAGGCTGTCATGCTTTTTTTTCAATCAGAAAAGAAAAAAAAATCACATTGGCTTGACTTTTTTTAGAACCTCATTCAAATTGGTATGAACTGGTACAGAATGTGGTGGAAAACCTCAGAAAAGCTTGCCAAGTTTGGCCGTGCCATTACAAAACGGGTGATTGGAAAAGCGGCAGTAGTTTCTCCAATGGAGATGAGAGGTTGTGTTAATTGTTAAAGGAACCTCTGAAGGGAGCCTTCCGGAGATTTGTTGATCATTCGACAATTTTATCGATCTTTAGCTTTTTATTAACTTCCTATAGAAAAATTTGTAATCAGTAAATAGTACCTTGCACCGCCAGCTTTTAAAAAATGTTACAGAGTAGTCTTGTGAGAGCCAATCAGACTCAAGTGTGCCTGTGTTGTTGGAAAGCGTGTGTCGTTCTCATGGTGAGGAGCAGCGCTGGGCTCCTGGTGTCGTCCATGTTTGTGTTGGAACTTCCCGTAATTTATGTTTGTACACTCTTAATTGAGTCGGATTTCTTAGTGTTTCTTAGAGTTATGATCAACATTTAAAAACCACTGCAATAGTGTGAGAACTGTCTTTGTACAGTGGAGCGTCTGTCTAGTTGGTTGTCATTTTCACGTTTCTCTTTAGTTTGAAGCTCAGCTACTGAGAACCTAATTAGACTGGAACCCAACTGTCATCCTCTGTTAGCTGACCTCTTCAGCTTTCCCCACTGGGGTTTCAGTGTTCTGGAAACTGTCTGAGGAGCATGTACACAGATCTTCGTGGCATACGTCGGCAGATAGCAAAGTGTGTGTGATCCTCTGATCCACTGGTATATGATTCTGACTGTATGATAACCTTGGGTAAAAATATCACGGTTTCACGGTACCATGGTATTGTAATTACTGCTCCACAATGTTCTATTTAAATGCCACCCCCCCCCCAACCACTTTGTAACATTGAACATTAGGCAAAGTAAGTAAAATAAATAAATGTAGTCTTCATAACCGCTTATTTCCTTTTGGGGTCACGAGGGTCTGCTGCATCCCCAGCTCACTGAAATTTTCTTGAATTAAATCAGTCATTTGTGTGTCATGTCTTTTGTAATAAAGTGTCACTGCACTGTGCACAGTCCTTTGCTGCAGAATCTCTACAAAGTAAAACGGACATAATACATTAGAGCTAAATCTGTAACTAGTCTTCTGATCTTTTAATGCGTGTACTTTTAAAAATAGATGGTAATTTAGTTATATACTAGAGTTGACAAAAACAACTAATTACATGATTTAATTTTTGTGTGTCTAAAAAAACAGTACTGCTAAAAACAAATTTGAATTTCAGTGTGGATACACACATGTAAACATGCACGTGAAACGCCGCTGCAGCCACCGATCGGTTTATGATATCAAAGTACCGCAAGAGCGATTATAACGAGCCATGCTTCGAATTAGATTTTCCAGTAGTACTGTCTTGAACTGATTGCTGCTTGTTGTTTTTTTAAATAGCGTCATTTTAAAAAGATGTTGCTTAAAAATTTTTTTTGTCTTTATTTGTACCAGATAATAAAGTATTGTGACTGGAAGAGAAGCAAGTGGGAAAATGACGATGTGTTCCGTGTCACCCCTCACAACTGCGTATATACATATCCGACACACTGTCGACAATTCCACGGGGTCGGACTGTTTTTAAGCAATGCACTCTCCAGATTCTGAACCAAACTCTGATTCCAGATTCTGAACCAAACTGGGTGATTCTGCAAAACAAGTTATCAGGATATTTTTTTTTTCCCTGATTGACATTGAATACCTATTTTTCTGCATAAAACCACAATTGTTTAAACAGGTCAGTAATATGAGTCTGTATAAAAACAAAACCTTTTCAGTTTCAAATGTTCATCTAAAGGCTTAAAGTATTTCTGGATCAGGAAATGCACTGTAGCATCGTTCTTGTGGATCTACTTGTCTCCTTAAGGAGCTGATGACTTGATGAGCGCAGCAGGCTAATGTAAACACGCTCCTCTTTCCCAAGTTTCGATTCAGTTTGTTTTCCTTAATGTTCTCTTCATGCATTACACGATTGGGCGAAAGACCTCACTGTATATATTGAAAAGTCTTTTTAGACTTTTATTGATATTTAACAAATGGCAGTTGCTCTTGTTTTCATCTGAAGTGAATACGGTTGTATGGCTTAATATGCCAACAAAGCAGAGGTTTATGGTCAACACACAGAACCAAAATGCGGGCATTTTTTGATTGTCATTGACTGATCGACATGTAGGTCTTCTCTTCCATTAGGAAACACGAGGTAAAT